AAAAAAAAAAAAAAAATCCACGAAATAAAAACGGAAATATGTGTGAATTTTACTTAATGTTATGTTAAATAGCATGCGGGGGCGGGCATAACCGAGATGCCGTGTCGGAAATTTCGAAATGCTTGTAATTGTATGCTTATTATCGCGAATAGTAAGATATGTTCTGACGGATTAAATGTTAAGAGAAAGAAGAAGAAGAAGAAGAAGAAAATAAAAAAAAAAAGAAGAAAACGAACGAATGAAAATACGAGGGAAAACCTGTGTAACGAGACACGCATTTTACTAAATATAATCTAGGCCCCTGTGAATGTAACAGCATCCCATATAACAGTCTTCAGAAGAATTGTATTTATGAATCAATAACTAAATGTACTCCCACTGAAATATTTACACTTCCGACGAGATACACATTGCCAGTTTATTGGTCTTAAAATAGTTTACAGTCATCGGCTTTCCGACATTATCCGTCCCCGAACGATACAAATGTAGCGTTGTGTACTACATATATGGATTCTACTAAGGATATACAACAGAAATATTACAATGAATACACAATTAGAAGTAGAATAATTTCCTAATTAGTACTAATGCATTGTTAACAATGCGAGCACAGAAATGATAATTTTCGACTTTCATTCATCATGGCTAGAAAAGGATCACGGTTCGTTTACAGTATATCAGCGTGCTAGCAGGTTGAGTGGTCTCCGGATCAGACGTGCAATTTACGAGGGGGAATTTACCACATACGTGTACTTTGAAAATTTACACATACGAGGAGAGAAGAGTGCATAGAAATACAATTGCCAGCGTTACGGCCCGAAACGTCGTACCGCCGAAAAAGAAATATGATTTATCTTAATTGGTTTTACATGTATTAAAGCGATTGTAAATATATATATTAGATACACCTTATAATAAACGTAATTTAACATAAAAGAAAAAACTTCTCGAATGCTTTTTGCTACATTTCAATTACGTATGTAAAAGAGAAAATACTGAAATTTGTTCGAATTGCTTCGCTTGAGCCAATGCAACCTTGACTTTCACTTTCGTCTGCTAGGCGAGCACGTGGTTTCGTTTGACAGTTTTGTATTCTTTCTGTTTCGATAGGTGGCGACACTGTTTCTTCTAATTGTCGGCCATTCTCTCAACAGTTGTATTTCCGTCGAAGATGGCAGTGCCCACAGAGACAAATGTCGACGCGAGATAAATCTTTCGGAATGTTTATCACAGTACCAAGACCATGTTTCTGATTTAGATAGGACGTATCTTGAAATTAGTTTGTGTTCGTTAATATGACAATTCGTCGAATCTTCATGGATATACGTGATCCGTCGCGATACAGTTGTGGTACATCTTACTTGTTGCAATTGTGCTGTAATCTTCCCACGTGCACTTTTTAGTTCCGCTCGAGTTCTTCCTTTTCGACGAATAAATCATTGACACAATGGGAGATACATTGCACAAAGATAGATACGAGATATGTAAGTGAAATCACATTTCATATCTTCCGTTTTATCAGTTTCTGTTGTTCCACATTGTTGCTTTCATTGGGTATTATGCGTTCTACGTTTGATGATTTTAACGTAGTATTTTTTTTATCCGTAATGATTTTTATTTTATTTCAAAACGAAAATAACTCGTTTTACATTGATTATTTGTACTGGACATAGAGTATCGAAGTGCAATGCTGCAAATTATATTTGATATATTTTGTGGAAATAGCAAATTTAGCAATGCGCAGTGGAGGTAATATAGGAGGTGATAGTGATATGAAACTGGAACCATCTAGTCCCACAGAGAAGTATACTTTTTCTCGTTGTAGTAGTACTGGGTCAGTGAATACACCATCTTCGTCTGCTCATAATACAGGTTTGAAACAGCGATTGAAATAAGTACAGTGGATATTTTTAGAAATGTATAAATGACATTTATTAATGAATCTCATTAATTGTAGAAGATGAAGATAGTGATAACAAAAATTCAACTATAAGTTACAAAGAACGCAGGAGAGAAGCTCACACACAGGCTGAACAAAAAAGAAGAGATGCTATCAAAAAAGGATATGATTCTCTTCAAGATTTGGTTCCCACTTGCCAACATACTGATTCCTCTGGTTATAAACTTTCCAAGGCTACTGTACTTCAAAAATCCATCGATTATATACAATTCTTGTTACAACAGAAGAAAAAACAAGAGGAAGAACGTAATGCGTTAAGAAAAGAAGTTGTAGCATTGCGGATTATGCAAGCTAATTACGAGCAGATTGTGAAGGCTCACCAGACCCAACCAGGGCATGCAGAAATGCGTGTATCTGATGAAACTAAATTTCAAGTAGTAAGATTAGTTGTAGTATAAAATAAAAATTAGTAAGAATAATTATAATTAAAAATAGTAAGAATAATTGTAGTATAAAATTAAAATTTTTAACTATCTCATTTTGAAGATATTTCACAATTAATTTATTTGTTATTAGTTCCAGGCAATTATGGATCGTTTGTTCCAAACATTCAATAACATTTCAGTAGCAAATTTTGCAGAATTATCTGCATGTGTGTTCAGTTGGTTAGAGGAGCACTGTAAACCTCAAGTGAGTAAATTACTTTTCAAATTATTATAAATAGTTTTTTAAATAAGGTAAACGTATACCATTTGATAAATAATGCACTTCAAATATTTCAGACTTTACGCGAAGTAGTACTCTCTGTTCTCCAGCAGCTTAATAGCCAAATCAGCTAGTCACATATATATATAATTAGATTATTTGTGATTGCACAACATTATAAAATCTATTTGCGGGTACTTAGATCAATTATTATATAGAGTTACCATAAAGGATGGGAGTTTTTACATAATGCGGGTAGCATAATGATTATACAAGAAATATAAATAGAAATTTATTTTATATACTAATATTATAGGTGTAACATATGTCGTTTGATAGTGACCAAACAATGTCAAATATTTTTAACAGAAATTTTTTTATGAAGTTTGCAGCATATATATTTAATACAGAATGTATATGATTGTATTTGAATATGTACATATGTAACATGTTGACCTGCAACATCATAGCATAGTTGAAATAAAAATCAAATTTTGTGCATTTATACGTTGTATTTGCAACTATTAACAATGACAGACATATAATGTTTCTTATTTTATGTGTAATTAGTTTTCTCTTAGGAGTACCAATTTATCCAAGAATTTCATTTTTGATATTAATTTTATATTTTGTATAGTTTTTTTTTTGATTAAACTTTCTCAGATTCGGTAGGCATACTTTCTCCTTGTGTAATGTCGTTCAAAAGTATGGCATCTAATCTTGGTCTGTTAGGATCGTTGTGTTCATGCTGAGGACTCTGAGGACGTCTTCTTTTTGATCTGTCCTCTGGTCTACAACAGAGATCTCTGAAGATGCAGGCATAGCAAACTAGCAACGTGCTCATCATCATTAAACCACCAATTGCAAGAATCACGACTAAAAATATCGATATTTCGTCCCCCATGTTATATATTGTTGATCGCTTTGTTAGTTAACGTTTACAGCATCTGTAACAGAAATTCATTGAAATCAAATATTTATTATAAAAATTACCGATTATATTTTTAGCTATTCCTTAATTTTACATTTTAATAGTTTTATAAGGATTTATTACAACGTAATCTCCAACATATGTGCTGTAACTTGATAGATTTTCTATTCTTATGAATAAATGGAAAGATAATTTTCAGTGAAGCTGAAATCATAGAAAGTTTGAATACATAACAATTTTTCTTTAGATAGTACATGTAGAATAGTCATTATTCATTCTATTCCTCATCGCCCTACTTGGCATTCAGTTCTTTGATATTAAAAAATAGTATAAAAATTATCATCTTATATCAAATTGCTTATCCTACTCTTTATTTTCCAAAAAAAAAAAAAAAAGAATAATTAACGAACATTTATATACAGTGGAGGATAAAGGAAAAAGTTCTCTAATTTAGTGTCTCTACACTAAGAGTGTTAATATGATCTGTTACGTTTATTTATTGTCAAATAGAATTTTGAAATAAATAATGATACTGTTTTCTTATCTTTCATCTCTTAAACTTTATTCCGTCTGTATATTCTGACACGAATAAATATTCTTGTGCAAAAAGCTGTGCTTTTCTTGAAACGAAAGGTTCTTGAATACGAAAGAACAGTATTAGTTCATACTTTCTATAATCCAATTTATTCTTCGGTAGTCACGTACATACGTGCGAAAAATCATTGAGTGAATTGCTCCTGGAGTGTTGCGCGCCGAGTGCAATTTAGAAAATGAAATCTTGGAGGCTGCGTGTCTCTTTTATGAAACAATATCTTGTCTTTTAGTGGCGATATGATTGTGGAAAAATGATCGCTATATATTCCTCAAGAAAGCTTCTATTACAATTCTTCATTTTTATCCTCTTAGAGGCAACAATTTTATAGTGAAATTTTTTTCTTCAATTTAATAACATTCTTCAGATTACATTTACGCTTGTCATGTGTGATATTAAGAAATGATGTATATCATTATCTTCAATAATCATTTGAACTAAGTGAAATAAATTAAAATAAATATAATGTTCCAAGACAAAGTCTGTATATTTTTTCAGCATCCTTCAAACAAAATACTATTTTAAAAACTTATTGCAACAATAAAAATTTTTTTATTTTCAAAGTTACAAGTATAGATTATTTATTATTTATTTAAAATAATATTTTATCCAGCTTTGACCGCATCAGTGTTTTATGGTGAACAAGAACGATTGCAATTTGCGGATCTTCTAGATAGAAATATGTGTTTAATTTTTGCTCCTCTAAATGTAGAGAACTTAGCATGCAGTTTAGGGATATAATTTTAACTTGAGTATCGTATCGTTTATTTTTGTGTTTTTTGCGAGAAAAAAATAGTGAATTACACGAAAAAAATCTACTTGTTACAGAAAAGAAAATTTTTAATTTATTATTTTAAATTAGATAATCTTAAATTAAAATAATCTTAAGTCTTAATCTATTTCTTCCTTCGCTTATCTTCTTATCTTGGATAGATAGGTAGATTATTCTTTAACTTTGTTTTAACAACTCATGTAACTTTCTGAGAGGAGTACATTCATTCTTTAGGAAATAAATTTGATATTACGCCAGTCACTAGCCTTTCTCATATATGTTACTTTAAAGTTTGAGCATTCAACCGAGTTTCCCATCGTTCCGAAGTTTCTGTGTCTTTTTAGCCATTTTCCATGTTCTATATTTCTTAATTTAATATCGTGGAGAATTGTATTGTTAAAATTTCGTACATTTAATACAATCTCGAAATAAGCAATATAAATATATTTATTATAAAATATTAATATATTTTAAAAAACTTTAAAATAATATATTTATTATAAAACTTCAATTGTTAACATTATATTGTTTTCACATTAAAAGTGTTACCAATCAAATTGAACTATTTGATAGAAACAATATTTCTGATAATAATTCATTGCTAATAATTGGTTTTCAAAGATGTTCAAGAGTTACAAATTAGAGTTATAAATTATATGGTTAGTAACTAAATAATTAGTATGATTTTTATATATCTGTAATAAAAATGTTATAAATGATAAAATATAATTATAAATATTTATTATATATATAATTATAAATATATATTTATAATTTATTTGTTTTGTAATCACCAATATTTCGATCATTAAATGTTATTCTGTAAAATAGAATATAATTTTGTTAATATTTGGAATTCAAATTAATTTCTAGAAATTTCCCAGAAACAGTAATTTTCCTCATTCACGCCGATTCACGCTATTTTGCTATTTCTGCTATCTCGAATAATCAATGTAACTAGAGTACGCTGTCTTTGTCTAACGATTGCATAGATTCCGAAGTTGTAACGTAGCTTCCGTTGTCGATAATTAATTACCATGATTTTTAATGGAGACTGTTTTGCTTTCTCAGTGTAATATCAAACAGAAAATCCTAGTTTTCATACCTGTAATAAGTTATCTGTAAGTGATTCTACATATAGGAACAAGTCGAAAATGAAAAAAAAAAAA